TCTTCGGCACGCACGCACACGCGCCCGGCGTGAGTTTTAAGCCTCCGGGTCCGGGACGCGAACCGCGGTCGACTACGTGAGAGTCCAGCGACATAGCCATTACGCTAACTGCTGGTCTCATTCCAGGACTCTTTCAGATACACAAATCATGAATTTTCAAGTCTTTTATATAAAATAATATAATATCTTCATGTAACCTATGCACATCTTCCATATAATTTAAATCTCTAGATTACTTAAAATACCTAATACAATGTAAATGCTATGTAAATAGCTGTTATATTGTTTATGAAATAATAATAGTAAGGGAGAAAAAGTTGCTCCATGTTTAGTGCAGGTGCAACCATTTATTTTCCTTCAATATTTTCTATCCAGTTGGTTGAATTCCTAGATGCAGAACCTGAAGATAGAGCCACTTAACTCTCTTTTCTTTAGTATGTCCTAGGTTCTCATATCTTGTTCCTTGTCTTCACTTATGCTAGTCTCTCTGCCTAGGCACATATGCCAATTTCTTCTTAGCTGTCAAGGTACAGTTCATAAAACAAGTTCTTGAAGGTAAAACTATTTATATTAATTCACCTCTAATAGTATTTTGTGTATAATTACATTATGACATGTAACACTTTTTTTTCACAAGAAAAAGAAATGCTAATGGAATTTGCTTAAAACTTAAAGCTAGGAAACGATTCTGTTCAAATAGTAGGTATATGAACCTATCGACAGCTCAAGACAGGACAAAAATCCTTTAAACTGGACAACAAAGCCTAGAAGAAAATCAGCAATGTTTTAGTCAAAAGTCATAAAATGGTATTTCACCAGTTCAGTCTCATGTACTTAATCTATCTTCTGTTGTGGTTCGATCTTCCCAATTAAATTCTAGGATATAATATTCAACTTCAGACTTGTCCCTACAATTAAGTTGGCCATTTTCTTAGTTTTTGAACACTTATTTCTGTGTGTCTGTATTTAATTTTCCTGGCATAGCACTCCCTTGAGAACTTCTTAGAGATCTGGTCTGGTGCTGGTAAATTCTTTCAGGTTTTATTTATCTGAGAATGTTCTTATCTTTTCTTCCCATATGAAGGATAATCTTGCTGGATACAGTATTCTTGGTTGAAATTGCCTTTCCCTTAACACTTTGAATATATTTTCCTATTCTTTCTTCACTTGCATTCTTTCTGATGAGAGATCTGCTGTTAGCCTGATGGGATGTCCTTTGTAGGTAACTTGATGTTTTTCTCTTGCTAATCGGAAAGTTTTCTTGCAGGATTTCATGGAATAGATTATCAATGCCCTATGAGTCTCTTCACCTTTTGGGATACCAATTACCTGGATATTTGGATGTTTGATGGTGTCTAGTATTTCTCATATATTATTCTCATTGTTTTGAGCAATTTTCTCAGTCTTTGTGGTGGACTTTTCTAGGCCAGCAATTTTCTCTTCTATGTCTGAGATTCTATTTTCTGTATAATCTAGTCTGCTTTTAATACTTTAAAGGGAAATTTTGACTTCCTGTACTATAGCCTTCATCTCTAAGAGGTCCATTTAATTCTTTTTTAAAGTGTGTCATTTCTCTTTAAGATCTTGCAAGAATTCCATAACTTCCTGGAACTTGTCAACTCCTTTCCCCTGCCTCTTTGGCAGTTTATTGTCTCTCTTCTCTTCCATCTCTGTTAGCTACATCATTATGAATATTCTAAATTCTTTATCAGACATTTCCATGATTTCCATTGAACTGTGTGTGGATAAAGAGGAGTTATTCTTTTCCCTTGGAGGAGAGGTATTTTCTTG